CTTAACACTGTTTACGTCACTTACTTAAAGCTAAGCAAAGTTAAAAAGTACTGGGTTCCATGGAAGTATGGGATCAGAAAATATCCACGTTGAACTAAAGCAGAAGTGACACTAATTCTATAATTAATTTAATATATATTTGTGAACGCAATATAGAAATTATCCTCAAAGTAACAAATGCTAAATAAGATACAGCAAATATAAATATTATTTTATTAAGTGCTCTGCATAATATCTCTTAGCATTTTGTTCCTTTGATGATTATTGCCGTAGGCCTAATCTCCTAAAGACACATTTTCATCGTTAATAGCTTTAGATGAAATGCTAATAGAGCTTAAGAATGACAAATAGCTTAGGGCTATTTTAGCATTAGTAGATCATGCTACAAAAACGAATATTTGCATACATTTCAATGTATAATTTATTCTAATCATTATTAAACAGGACATTGTTGGTCTAATGCTAGCAATGTATAGCTAATAATCAACGGGCCGTGGGTTCGATCCCCACCGTGTCCACGTGTTTCAAATTTTTCAATTTATAATTTTTCTGACACATGTTTGACTTCGTCTAGAAATCTGGATATTAAATGAATGGTAGGAATATAAAAAATCCGTCCGGGTCACGAATCACCCTCTATAGATGAAAAAGCCGTGAAGCTCAATTTTTATTTATTAAAAACCAATCACACATCTTTACAGAATATTAATTCTAACATGATATAGTCATTTAAATAAAACACTTTAACGGTTTAAAACGCGATATATTAGTTAAACTTATTTGAAAATGATTTTTAACTTCGGCACGACGTTTCGAATGCTTTGCAGCAGCCGTGGTCACGGGGAGACATGATATAATATGATATAGTAAGGTACACCAAAAAATTAAATATCTTTTAGACCATATACGACATCATACTACTACATATACGTTATTGTCCTTATGAAATCGCACACCGTGCAATCAAAAATATCTATTTTACAATAGTGTAAATTGTAAAATACATATTTTTGATTAAGAATGTGCAGTTCTCGCATGATTGAGGAATAATACATTAAGTTTGTTCTCGCCGGACTGATGGCGAACAGTGTTCTACGTCGTCGTCTGCTTACAAACCGTTGATTTCGTGAAACATGTTTTCTCCGTACAGCTTAAACGTTTCGGGTATTTTATTAAATTGGATTGGAATGTATATTGTGTTTCTGAATTCCTGTATTTTTGGATAGCTTAACTTTCTTTTGTACCAAAGGTGTATAAAGAAGTGTTTTAAGCCTTATCCGATTGTCGATTGATTTATACTATAGTGAATACTTATGTTTAAACTCATTTATTTTGCTCGGGCGTGTACGAGAGTCGGGACAGCTATCCTTAAATTTTCGCGTTACACTTTCTAGAAAAGGTGTCAATCTCGAAAGTTATCTCTAAATATTTCTAAACGGCGAGGGTCACCTCCGGGTTCCGCATATTATAAACGCCACCCCAATCGACGAGACTCAGTGAGTGAATAATGAAACAAAATCTGCTTTAGAAATTCCAAATAACTCTACCTGCAGACGTGCTACTTTCCCCGTTTTGCAAAGCGTCCCGTCCTATCCTACACAGCGTACAGCGTCCTGTACAGCGGGGGTAGTGCATTTCAATGATGAGTGGCGGTGATATAGGTCCACCGGCACCAAGGGCTCTCCGCCTATTAGGACACTTTATCCCCCCAGTATGACGTGCACAACACTAGATCTAGTTGCCTACCAGTACATTCGGAATCTTATTAACCTGAGCGAAATCACAATAAGATTTCAAACAAACAAAATACTATCTAACAACTTCACTAGTAGAATACAAATTGCAATCGCCTAGCAATAACACTTTTTCGTATTTTAAACACAGTCGTTCTAATAAACTTATATATTTATAAGCATTTCGTTCTCACTGATTTTAGGAGGTAGATATACTACGCAACACAATAACAATAATTTGTCGTTAGAGCGAATGGTCGCACAGACTAGTTCGAACGAGTGGCGATTTACCGTGACGCCATCTAGTTTGCATCGGCTCACATTTTGTATTTGTAAACCGCGCGTTGCTAATAGACAATAAATAAAAAGGCTAAAAAAAAAAGTTATATGTACTAGACTCTAGACGTATTGTTCTAAGTATCTGATTAACTTTGATAATTAAATAATTGCTTGGATCTTTTCTAAAAGTCCCTAATTTGATTAATCTATTTCATTTGAATGTCCCTTTGAACGGTATATTAAAAATTCCTTGGTCTAAAAGGGTAAACCACATGCGAGGTGAATCTTAATTACAATCTAATTAATATGTATTTGCTATTCTATGTTATCCTTTTATTAAAACTTCAATTAAATATACTGAGTTAATTTTTGTATAGAAAAAAAGATTTCTTATAGTCGAAAATCGTTTTTATTTTTCTTAACTTCGCCGTATAACTTTGGTGGTCACATACTACATCAATTACTAATTAGTAATTAATTATAATAATTGTATTCAACAATTGCAATAATTGACAATTGATAAACAATATAACTATTCATTGAGGTATATATATTTATTTATATGAAGAGTAATAAAAAATTTATAGTTGTATAAATTTAAATTATCAGCTTCAGTAATCCTACTGAAAGTAAATATTTATATATCCATTAAAAGCTTATAGTTAAATTAATAATGACTTGATTTGGAATAAGTTGTAACTTACTAGAAGTAACTGATTTGCTACCACGATTTATGTTGGATATCTAAACAATATTGGTAAGCTAGTATGAAGCTATGCTTGGTTACGAAATTGTTATCAATTAGTATTCGAATCTGGTAATAGACAAAGGCTTAGCCAAACAAGCTACAGGCCGACTGGACTAATTCTATCTACATGCTTAATCAAAGCTACACTCGTAAAGCTACGTGACTATGTTCAGAAACAAACGAACTCGCTCCTATGGGTTTGTCACCTGACTGTCACTAAAATAATTCTTCGGAACTGGATTGTTTAATATTGCGTGGAGCTGCCAAAAATTTGAGCCTCGGTTGGGAGAAGGGCCTTATTAAAACTGGGAAGTTCGGATCTTGGCAGGCATTTGGAAGGCAGAAATGACTACCTCCATATTCTCTGAGTTCATAATGGTTACAACTTTTTCGGTGTAGTTATACGATGGTTTTTTTTCAGCTAAATATCAAAGTGAGATTTGTCTCAAAAATCAAAGTATATTATTAACTAGCTGTGCCAGCGACTTCGTCCGCGCCCCGTCGTTCTTGTAATGAATTGTAAAATATAGATATAATATAGTGTCGCTGACGTTTTTTTAGATCATTTAAAAAGAAATGGATATTTCATACATATATCTCTAGCCGTTTCAGAGAATCCGGTAGAGTGCGCGCGGTCGACTCGCACGTGGCCGAAAATAAAAGTGGCCTATGTTACTCCCTATTACATCAGCTATCTGCCAGTGAAAGTTCCGTGAAAATCGGTCTAGTCGTTTCCGAGATTAGCCAGAACAAACAAACAGACAAACATTTTTTTTTTAATCTTGTTTTGGTATGTGTACCGTGTATACATTCATATGCATTTAGTAAAAAGCGGTTATTTTAATGTTACAAACAGACACTCTAATTTTATTTATTTGTATAGATTATTTTTATTAAATCGTTGAGTTGTCACGCCAAAGTAACTAAAAGCCACTTTAGAGTGAAATGAAACACAGCCGTAACAGATTTAGTACTAAATGCAATATAATGATGCACAGAAGCTTAAGGGATTACCTGCCCTTGACACTAATTCCCAAACACAATTAATTCGACTAATTATTAACTTCAATCAGTCGGAACAAACTAATTGCATTCAATTAACTTGGAATTATCAGTATAGGCTGAATTAAATAAGAATACATAAAAATAATTACTAAAAAACGATAAATTACAGTAACTTTCAATTAAATATCTTCCTAAACAAATAAAATACATAGCCAAGCCAATAACAAAAAGGATACAGTCTGAAGTTTACGCGAGTAGTACATATTATGTAAATAACACGCACAATAACACTTTGACGATTTAAAACGCGATATATATTAGTTAAACTTGTTTGAAACGTCGTGCCGTAGTTAAAATATCGAATTTAACTAATATATATTGCGTTTAAACCGTTAAATTGTTGTATTTAAATATGGATACATTTAAATAAAATATAATCTAAAAAGGTCAAATATAACACTTTAATTTTTAGATTTGAAACCTGGATCGGCTGTGAGTGATATATATTAGACAAACTCTTGCTAAGTCGATTTTAAAGGCGTTATGTTTTATAATGTGAAGTTGTGTTGGGAAGAGGCATCGTAATTATAATTTAATATATTTAAATACTGTCTGTAGTTTACGCGAGTAGTACACATTTAAATAGAACACTTCAACTGTTAAAAACGCGATATATGTTAGTACATATTATATTAGTAGTTTTATAGTAACGTATTAGTTACATATCATAGTTGATACAACATATCTTTTGTCTTTTTTTTATTAAAATTCAAAGATATAATGACCTTTTAATTTTCGTTTGATACGAAAACAATTTTTGCTATCTAAAACTAATTAGTATGTTAGGAAATAAAGAAAAATAATCGTTACAGTGTAATCACATTATTTAAAAGTTTGCAACGATCTTACTCGATTTACACATACATACAGTTAAAAATCTAACCGTTTTAAATGAGAGATATATTCATGCACTAATTTATTTTAGTGTTTTATTTAGATTTTTCTCAATTTGATATAGTTTTTGTAACAGAAAAAGAAATGTATGTTATAGCCTCTTGAATTTCATGTTACATTTAAATTTGAACTTAATTTGAGAAAGTTTAACCTTTTTTTGAAAAGGGCAGAAAAATAGACAAATCCTAACGTCAATGACAATTTCAAACCATTTATACACAATATACAAATAATTCAAATCTATGAATTAATATAGAATTTGGGGACCCGGGTGTGAAGGAATGCCAAAACCCGATAAAAGAGATTTTGAAGAGAGATATTCCGCTTGTTTTCTAGACTTTGGTGTTAAAACAGGTAAATAATTCCCATTATTGAAGTGTGTGGAAGCAGTCAGAAGAAAGTTTCTCTAAAATTCATTTAGTTTTAATAAATAATTATAGGATATTTATCTAGTTCGGTATCAGCCTGGCATAGATTTTTTTTAGATAGAGGAGGGCAGACAGATATACCCCAGTCTATAGAATCTAAACACGATGCGCTGTGATCATATTTTCATTAGGAAATCTACAGACTGAAACCGAAACGCGATTAATCTTCACGGTTTTTTTCATCTATGGCCGGTGGTTCGCGACGCAGACGGAATTTCTAAATCCCTACTATCCAGATTTCCAGACAAAGTCTGACATGTCTTCGATTATAAGTTAAAAAAAATTAGAAACTATTTTGCGGTGGGGATGATTCCCACGACCCGTTGATCATGCCATACATACTAGCATTAGAGAAAAGACCGTATCTATCTTCAATTCAGTTGCAGGCCTACTTATCGGAAGCATGATGGGTAGCTTCTTTCTCCACGGCTATAAGAAGTGGCCCATGTTCATTGGAGGTGGCCTCGGTATTGGAATGGCATATCAGAACTGTGAGAATAGCTTGAACACCTTTCTTCTTTCCATGGATCCTAAAGCGTGTGTCATCAAGTTAGTATGATTTATTTAATTCAAAAATAATATAAGAGGTACGTATAGCTCGCAGAAATTAAAATAGCATTATTTCTTGACAAAAATATCCTGAAACGATAAAGTTGTGTTTGTTTAACCAAAAATAATTAAAAATTTTCCGTTTAAAACGCCAAATATAAGTGATTCACACATTTATAATAATTTCGCAATTCGCTTTCAATAAGTTGCGTGTACTTTGAACCTTTATTCGTAAGTAGATAAAAAACGCGTTACATATAAATATACAATACAATAAAATACGTCAATTTTAATGTCTTGTTCCATAACCATACAACGCGATGCAAACCAATTTGTATTAAAAAAGAAAAACCTTTAGTTTAAGTTGACAATTTTAATTGTGACATCTTTATTCCAAATGTTATTTCTAGCCTTATTGCTTCTTAACTCATCTTATTTTACTATTGTCCACTTTATTGTCTATTTGTCAATGCTTCGGCTTCGTTTTTGTACTAATATTTAATAAACTTTCCATTTAACAATTAATGTCGGCTCTTATTAAAAGGACAAAGAGTCGTTCCGCTTCTAGCACATCTAACGATTCAAATTAGCAACCTCGACAATGGTCTTCTTCGTTTACAAAACAAATTGGTAGAATAATGTGTGTTAAAATCAAAAGAAAGAATCGTTATTGTTGGTAGCCCAAATTGTAAATGGTTGTAAATAAAAACGTTATCCGACACTGTAAAGATACTACAACTTATTAGGGTTGTCAAACAGTATATATATTTTTTTCTTTTTTATTTCAAACGACCCAAATTTTGTTTAACATTATTCGAATTTGATTTTTATATAGTGTAGAATCTTAACAATTTTGCGAAGACTGTGCAAAGTAAGAAAACAAGTCATGCTAGATTTTGTTTAAAAGAATTGGAGTACATAAATTATAACAATTTAGTGTTCTTACAAATCTTGCTTCTACATAACCGTCTATCAATTATTTATTATGTTTGGTTCGAGATATCGAAATTCATGTACACCCCTATCTACCGTCTGGTCAACGGTGAAGACATCTTTTTATGCACTCAGCACGATATTTCCCTAAGCCTTTGTCTAGAAAATAAAGGTCAGGCACATCACTATACAAATTGTAGTTCTTTGTTTATGACGCCCTTTCTTCTACAAAATCACTTTACTGTTTGCAAACCTACCGCCTTGCCACCTACAGAGCTTTTGTCAACGTTTCATACATTTTTACCTCTTATATCGATTTCATAGAGTTTAAAATCCTTTGAATAATTTTCACGTTTAGTTAGGTCACTTTGTCGGTCACTTGTTTCAATTCCAACGTTTTCATTTCGATCGTTTGTGAGTCATTGACGGTTTGCTTTGAGCTTTTCGCCAGTTTTTTCAACCTCAATTATATTTCATTCGGATTGGATATTCTTTGCTGGCATACGCCGCCGGCTGTACAATTGGATGTCATCGATTCTAGATACAGCGTGCTGTTAAAACCATACCTCAATGTCGAACTTATTACTTAAAACTTTAAAAAATTATATTGCGGTTTTAATTCTATTTTTATTAACAATTTATTCTTATTTAAGATAGGACTAACGCATATTTTTACCGTAAAGCATATAAAAGACATAATTCCAATAGACATCATATTTCCTCTTAAACTGATAATATTTAACATTAATAATGTGCTTAAATATGAAAATTTAATAAATTGTGTAAGGCTTCACCGCGATGGCCGAACAGCCCGAAAAACAATAATAATTTAAGCCTAAAATAAATTTGAACACCCTTATGAGACTACTCTTTGAACAGCCTTACCAAATAGAGAACTAGATTCCAGATTTAAAAAAGCGAGATGCATATTGTGGTGAATGTTTTCACCTGTGCATAATTAAAGCCTATTCAGGAAAAACTATTGTAGAATTGTAGTATTTGTGAACAGTTTACTAATACTAAAATGCATTATTTCTTTTCAGAAAACAGCCGTGATTCCACTTTGGAATAAACATTTTATCAATGTACTGTATTTTGTATGTGATTTTAGTTCAAATGTAAAGTAAATATATACTTAGTTATTTTGAATTTTAACTTTAATTTGATAAATGCTATACTGATTTTTTGATTAATCACCAAATTATAATATTTCTTTATGCATTTCAAACCGATGCCATTCCCTAAAGTTTCTGTGTTCATAGAATAACATGCCTAAATAGTTTCAGGCACAAAAGTCGAATCGCTATTTGCTTATAATTAAAATTGATCTAGGTATGTTCCGTTTCTGCCCTATGCTCTGCGTAGAAAAATTGGATTTATAGAAAAATATAAGCGGCTTTATTTAAATAAAAACATTTAACGTTTTAAACTACGGCTCGACGTGTCGGATGCTTTGCAGCAGCCGTAGTCACGAAGAGACACCACCACCACATTTCATCCAAAGCTAAGTTGAATATTATGTACATTTTGGGTTTAACTTCAAAGATGGAATCTAGTAATTTCTATATACTTAAAAGTAAATACTGTCTGCAGTTTTCGCTAGTAGTATTTAAATAAAACACTAACGGCTTATAACGCGATATATATTAATTAAACTTATTAGAAAATTGCTTTAACAGCGGCCCGACGTTTCGGATGTTTTGCAGCAGCCGTGATCACAGGCTGTAGTGAAAAAAATCTATTAAGATTAACTAATGTATATCGTTTTAAACCGTTAAAGTGTTTTATTTAATTTATTAAAAGTAGTTTTTAGACCCTTAAATAAAACCACTTTTTTAGCTTTAATAGAGTGGAAACAGTAAAGGTCGATTATGATTACATTAATAGTATTTATTCAAAGCTTGATATATTATTTTTAATCTATTCATATTGTTTAAAAATACTAGTGCTATTGAAAAACCGCAACAAGTAGGCTTAGCGTCACTGCGGAAGTAACGAGTCTGTAACTATGATAATTACTGTGGCTTGAACCAAGTGAGTCAGAGGCTGAGTCATGGTGAAATCATTGTCATGAGTCTGATGCAATTTTATATTCCAGCGCACAAGAAATATTCTACAGGTGAGCCTCTCGCATTTCATACAAGTGACACATTGCAGTGAAAGCCGACATTTCAGACGATTACCATTAAATACTGTCGGCAGTTTACGCAAGTAGTACACATTTAAATAAAACACTCAAACGGTTTAAAACGCGATATATATTAGTCAAACTTATTTGACAATTATTTTAACAAGGTCGTCCAGGTTTCCACTTTAGATTGTTTAAAAGCCGGCCATAGATGGTTAATTTTACAATAAATTATTTTTATTTAAAAATCGAAAACAAACTAAAAAATATTTTCGACTCGGGCAGGACTTGAACCGGCATCGTCAGCATTGCTTTACAGTATTAGTTTTCATACTTTACAATACATTGTTTGCAATTGCAGGAGTTTCTTGATACTTGATATCCTTTCTCCTTTTTAAAAACATTGTCAAATTTAGTTACGCAAACTATATATATTTCGTTATAAACCGTCAATAGTGTTCTAAGTAATATCTTGTTGTTACCTTTTTATAATTCGTTTAGTTTAATAAATATATACCCATAGTCAGGTCAACTATATTTTTCGTGTTTTAAACCGTTAGAAGTGTTCTACGTAATATCATTACGTTCTTAAATTCGTTTAGAATACTTATTATATTAGAAAAAAATATGAAACTAGTGACACAAACGATACAAAATAAAAACCAGTAGGAAAAATTACCATCAGACATGCAAAATCTAGCAATTTAGGGCGTTTCCTGGCGGGTGACTAATATTTGAACATAAGTTGTATAAAGTTGGTACTGACAGTTCGGTAGTATTTTTCATGAAGAAAGTAGAAGTTACTCTGACGATTTAAGTTTTAATGGCAGCTTATGATATGTATATAAAGAGTATAAGTAAGTATACTACTCAGTTCTTATTGTCAGATTATAGTTACGTAGTATTTGTTTGACATTACTGTCTAAAAAAGACAGCGTGGCTTCTTATAACTATTTAGAAACAAAAGCTACCTAGAGCTATAAAGTTATCATGTAATTATTTCCAAGTTCAGTATAACATATTGCATATGTAATAACATACCATAATGCTATACGTAATTACCGTTATAAATAAAAAAAAACCTTCATTTTTTCCTATATCTGTCATATTTACTTTAAAATAATTCTATATTCGCATAGTAAATAAAGTGGAAGTAAAATGAAGACCCATGGGGCATAGGGCGAACTCATTTCTGTATCCATTTTTCTGATCAATTCCTTTACTGGCAAGTAGTTGATAAGACTTCTGTGCCTCGCCGTACCGATACAATTTATTCCTTCCCTGGGATCGGAAATAAGTACCATACTCTTTTTATTTTTAAGAATATTTACATATCTGTATCTTTTATATATTTTTTTTACCACAAATCCATTGACCAGTAATCGACGTACGTTTTCCCATAATTCCTGTGAGTCTTCCCTCATTTATATGCTTTTAACAAACCTGCAAAAACGATCAAAGTACATCGACATCAATTTATCTAATAGGAACCAATCAAAACGCACACACGCATTTTCCCTATACAATTTGCTTAATGACCGAGTAATAGTCTTTCCAGCTAAACAGCACAACGTCTGTATACACCGAATTACCACCAGTTCGAGTCGGACCCCGCACAAGAAAGGTTTCGCAAATGTTTGCACAAATTTAATATCCTTCTTTTTATCGGCCGCTTTAGCTAAATGGCTGTCATCTAGCATTGCGTTAAATGCAAGAGGTCCTAGTTTCGAATTCCAGGGCGACAATAAATTGTTTGATCGGGCGGGGCACAGAAGTTTGATCAACTAGTTGCTGGTAAATAAAACCGATCAATGAAATGTATCCCTATATACGATGATAGAATAATATTAGATTTTATGTATGGAATTCAAAATCTATGGTCGTTTTTTTTTCATCACTTCAATCAATTTAAGAATCCGAATCCAGGTATCAATTAGAACATACATAAT